GATGACAAATACTTTGGCCTAATCGAAGGGAGATAACTCTTCACAATGGGAACGCAGTTACACAATAGTAAGCTAACAAACCTGGTTACCCTCTAATGCAGATACTTTGTTAGTAATTGTTACGGGTCATAAATAACAAGGTGAACTGTTTTATTTATCAAACAGCGTATGGGCGCGAGCTACCTCATCGACTTAATCCTATCTACTTTAGTATGACAAGTTGTCGGTGAAGTCCAGCAGGTTTTTCGAACTAAATTTTCGAATCTCTCGTCACAAAATATGTGTAAAAAAGGCCTAAAAAGCAGTGGGAACTTGGTTCAGCTGAACAAGTTTTTAAAAACACCTCACTCGCTCACTCATTCAACAGCCCACTCGGCCACACATTCAAATATTCATTCCACTACCCACACAACTTAACACTCTCACTCACTCACTCAACAACCAAACACTCACTCAACAACCCACTTAGCCACACACGGAAACACTCAACCAACCATCCACACAACCACATACTCACTCACTTATTCAACAACCCACTTAGCGAATCATTTTCTCAAAATCTATGCATTGCTTCCTGGAAGTAAGTTCTCATATACTGAACCGAAGGCCTTGTACCGCAATACGTACCGAACCGTGGTAAGAGCGTACCGTTTCACCCCTAATACTCACTCACTCATTCAACAACCCACTTAACTACCCAAAAAGGAAACACTCATTCAACCACCCACTTAACACCTCACTCACTCACTCATTCAACAGCCCACTCGGCCACACATTCAAATATTCATTCCACTACCCACACAACCTAACACTCTCACTCACTCACTCAACTCAACAACCCACTCGGCCACTCATTCAAATATTCATTCAACTACCCACACAACCAAACACTCACTCACTCACTGAACAACTCACTCACTCAACAACCCACTCGGCCAATGATTCAAATATTCATTCAGCTACCAACACAACCAAACACCACTTAGCGAATCATTTTCTCAAAATCTATGCTTTGCTTCCCGGAAGTAAGTTCTCATATACCGAACCGAAGGCCTTGTACCGCAATACGTACCGAACCGTGGTAAGAGCGTACCGTTTCACCCCTAATACTCACACACTCACTCATTCAACAACCCACTCAACTACACAAGGACAACACTCATTCAACCACCCACACAACCACACACTCACTCACTCACTGAAACTCTCACTCAACCACTCAACCATCCACAACTTACAGTATTATCTGCTTAATGATAGCGTCTGGAAACAATAGTGCGTCGATAACCATCAATCAATAAACGATATTCATATAAACATTTGTCCTTGAAGAACAACAGTCCCACGACTCCTTAGATGTTTGTTGTTTACAGATGAGCTGGCAAATAAATAATTGATAACTGTGAATCCCCCGAGATGTCCCGCGTGACAAAACATAAGAGGACGCAAGAGTACTGTATTCACTGTGTGCTGTTATCGAGGCAGCGTTTGAAAACAGTGTTTTTTTATGATTTGGCAATTCGTGGTGGGTATTCGTGAAATCTTTGTAGAAAATAAACCACAAAGGCAAAAGTAAAAAGTTTGTTAATAAATTTACTCTTAAAAACTTACAAATATTGATGTGTTCAAAGTGCTTTAAAATGGGGATCGATTGGAATGAAATTTCCTGAAAATATGGTACATGTGAAGGAAGAAGGAATAACACAAGAGAGGGTAAGAGTGAATATAGTTTTTAGCACTATTTCAACAATATCACGGAGGGGGACACCAGAAATGGGCTTCACACATTGTAAACAAGTGAGAAGCGAACCGGACCTTCGGCATGACGAACGAACGCTTTAACCTCTAAGCTACCCCACCGCCCCGAATAACACAAGGCGTATAGAGAGTTGGCATCGGGAGACACCAAACTGGAGGGAGGGCGGGGGTGAGTTAAGGTGTTGGTGATAAGGACGGTGGGGGTATGGGTAGAAGTGGTAGGAGTAGGGAGTACGGGACACACCAGGAAGGTCAGAAAGGCTATGTGGTTGGGGTGAGGTGAGTATCAAAGTTGACACGATGGAGAAAAGGTAAGGAGGTACGAGGTGAGGTGAGGTGAAATTGGGTTTAACGTCGTGCTTGAGAATATTTCGCTCATATGACGACGTGAGTGCGTGTGTATGTGTATGTGCGGCTGCTTGTACTAGCCCAGACTGAAGCTGGTTTTATAGAGCTAGCCCACTGAGATACCATGCCGCAGTGAAGCATGAAAAACCCCACTCAGACACATTATACTGACTCTGAGCCGACCAGTCCTTGTTGTACCCATAAATGGCGAGCGCCAGGCAGTGAACAACAAGTACCATATTTTAACGTCTTTTGGTATGACGCGGTCGGGGATCGAACCCGCGTCCTTCCGCTCTCCGGGCGGACGCTCTAACCACTACACCACAGAGGCGGTCCAGGTACGAGGGATACCAGGAAATGAGGGGCGGCTGATGGAGTAAGATTGTAGAAGAGATAGATGTAACAGTATGGTGAATGTCGTTCAGTGTAGGAGGTGAATCAATGCTGTTTACAGTTGGGTATATCTTACCTCACACATAAATTTCTGATTGGCTGAGCGCTCTTCTATTATTTCCAATGTACCCCGCAGTCAATGGCAACTCATTTGGTACTTCGTGGTAGTTATTCTTTATCTCGAATAACATTGAATCACGCATGATGTACGGAAATGACCGATGTTTTGCGAATGCAAATCGATGGAAGGGAGATAACTCTAAATCTGAATTTCTTGTCAGCAAAATCTAGCGATGGCTACAAAAAGATTTATACCCGTGCTTCAAACAATTCAAAATTAACATTAAGGTGTTCAGTAAGATAAATACGTTGTTCACTGGTCCCTCGGGGCCCATGGGTTGATGTACCCTCGATGTTTGTTTATGTTCCCTGAGCCCGAAGGGTACATCAACCCATGCCCCCCTCGTGACCATCCAGTGAACAACTTGTATTGTATCAGTGACGTTGAGTGTTTGAGTTGAGTCAGTGACGCTAACAGTACCAGGTTCTGTGCAAAGAGCACAGAGGTCACAAATCAAGTGAAGTTAAGCAGCGCTGGTCCCTGAGTGTCCGTGGATGGGTGACCGTCTTTGGCAGCTTGACTCCTGAGAGTTTCTAGGACTTCAATCCACAACGAAGCAAGTGTAACACATGTGGTTTCACCTTAGCCATGTGACTTTGTTCAGAACTGCCTGTGTTCATCCAGCAGTAAATGGGTACCTGGTGGGATGAGATGGTCATATGACTGTTAAACTTTTAGGGCATCACATACACATTAAGCAACGGACCGGAGTAATAATGTTAATGCTTTGAGCGTACGTCTTTTGAGTATGTACAGTATTTATTAATGTCGGTTACGTCGAATCTTGTGACGCTGACAGTTCAGACAGGAATTCCACCGTCACCCTTCGCAGGTGAAAGGACACCAATAGAACATGAACATAGAGTATACTAATTCTAGCCGTACATTGGGAGCTTGGGTCTTTGGAAGCGCGAGGGATTTCTTTTCGCTTTCTGCTCAAAATTTGGACCGCAAACTTACCGAATTCCTAGTTTATTGGATGCGGTGGGGTAGCCTAGTGGTTAAAGCGTTGGCTCGTCACGCCGAAGACCCGGGTTCGAATCCCCACATGGGTGCAATGTGTGAAGCCCATTTCTGGTGTTCCCCGCCGTGATGTTGCTGGAATATTGCTAAAAGCGGCGTAAATCCAAACTCAGTCAGTCTAGTTTATTGCATCGTGTACACAAACGCCCCGCGTCAAAACACGCTGAATCGATGGTACCTGTCAGAGCGCTATAATCGCCATTCTTTCCGAAGCACTTAACCCTAACTAATGTCATAATGAGTTAACGTACATATATTCATCGCAAACAGGCCTGTGTCGTGCCTGTTCACCATTGACTTTGACCTGCCCCGTAATGAAAATACCCATCGCTGGTAGGTCAAGACCGAGGTCGTAAAGGCATGGTTGCCCTCAAATATGATACAGATGCTATCGGTATGTTTCAAGGCAAATGTTTTTGTGAATTAACGTCTTCCGGTAAATAAGACAACATAGGTCAGACTCGGGTCAATTATAGCCCGTGGACACTGTATCTTCAAATATCACTGTCGACAAGAAAGATAAAAACAATTCAAGACCAAACTTAAGGGTGGGTTGGTTGGTTGGTTGGTTTGTTGTTTTACGGTGCACTCAGCAATATTCCAGCTATGTGGCTGCGGTCTGTAAATAATCGAGTCTAGACCAGACAATCCAGTGATTAACAGAATGAGCATCGATCTACGCAATTGGGATATGTTGATGTTTGAAAAGTTTACGACAAGCATCGGATGCTGAAGACCAATTCTAACCCGGATCCTCACGGGTCACACTTAATGGACAAGGTAGGGTAAGAGCCCTTTTGTTCTATGGGATACCAGTATGTATAGTTTGAGAAAAGGCGAAATATTCAACTATGAAGTATCAGATTGTTTTCCATTTAACAAAAACAACCCTTAAATTTTGGATTAAGCACTGTAGAATAGTATCCCTCTTGAAGTCAGATCTGCAAACTCAATTGACTCTTTTTGCTGCTGGCTCATATTTATTGAAGTGTCGTAAAATATTTGTAATCAGTGTTTATTCAGTAGATGAAAGACTTCACATGTACATTCGCTTGACGTCTATAATTGAAGCTCAACAAAAAATATATAATGCAGGTTTTATGCATCCTGATTTCTGTAGATAGTGCAGATTATTTACATAAACTGTTCTCCTCCATAATTTTACTTGCGTGTTCAGCAAGAAATAGTTGAAAATATAGATAATTACAAATACTAAGATTTGATTTCTTTCTCCATATATCAAATTCGACAGCTGATTAGTTGGTGAACCACTAATGTTATCTTAAGTACATAGATCAATATATGTATCATAATGAATGTGAAAGAATCGTTTCTTTTCAATTAACAACATGTAAAGGAAGTGCCGTATAATACCCATTTTACAGGTGCTATTTGAAGACCTGCACAAAATAATACAAGACAAATCTTATGGATAACAGCTTCTTGATCTATTTTATACAACGTTTCTGGGCTAGTTCTTGCCCCTTCGTCCACCTGACTACACCAACTTCTAAATGCCTTTGAAGAATTTCTGCACAAAATAATCTTTTTCGGGTCTTATTCCAGTCAAAATATATCGAACCAGTGGCTCGTTAACAATATCAGTATTTATTTTGCATTTTGTTTTAAATAAATGCGCCTGTAGCATTCCAAATACATCTTGTACATTATCCAATGCGTACTGAAATGACAAATTGAGTGTTGTTTTATGCCGCTACTATGTGGCTGCCCACTATTATCTGGGCACAATGTGTTAAGCCCATTTCTGGTGTCCCCCCCGCCGTGATATTGCTGGAATATTGCTAAAAGCGGCGTAAAACTAAACTCAGTCAGTCAGTCCACTATCATCACGTAGGCCTGTTATTGTAACCACTGTAACAACAAACACCATAAGTGTGGGGAGTCAAATTCAGAGTTGTATTTATCGAATGACACCAATACATTCCTTTTCACAAAAAGTTAATTTCAAAATATGCGTTTGTTGCATGAAGATTTGTACAGGAAAATTCGCATAGCGTTTGCATCAATATGATTAAAAAATATATAGGTTTACACTCAATCATTCATTCATTTAGTTTTCTGGTAGTGAATTGTTGTTTAACGCCGCACACACCAACATGACTGCGATCAATAGATGATCGAGTCTGGACCAGACAATCAAGTGATCAAGATCAGGAGCATCGATCTACGCAATTGGGATACGATGACATGTGTCAAGCAAGCCTCACCACCCGAACCCGTCCATAGCCTCTTACGATAAGCATGGATTGCAGAAGACAACTTCTAACCCGGATCTTCACCGGTGCTAATATCTTAGATGGGGTTAGAAATAACAGTTAATGTTGTTTATCGTTTATGGTGGTATTTTGGGGGGTAAACAACCAGTGGGTAATATTATGAACAACGTCGCAGGCAGTCAGGGTGTCATTACACGCTGTCAAGTCACCGTGACTAACTACCTGATCCTGTTCATCCCCATCCTCGATAATCCCCAGGGTTATGATCACTCTCCACTATACCCTGGATGCATCCACGGCTTGGCCCGATAATTATATTACCTCCCTTTGCTGGCTCCGCATTCTCACAGTAGCCAATCAGCTAAGCCGCCGTTACATCCGTACTTGCCAGGGTCAACAAAGATAGCGGTCGCCGTCGCGAAGGTTTGTTCTCAGTGCCACTCAGATTTTTGAGGAAATAATACAGACAAATTGACAGATCTGAAACTTTCAAAAAAAATATATAAGAACTCATTCTACCATTTTCAGAGTACCTCTGCATCAATTGTGTTGCCAAGTTTAAACGGTTTTAAGAAGCGAAAGTGAGTTGTGATTGGTTCGCTCAACTTCCCAGCGTAGACACCTGATTGGATAAAAAGCCAGCAAAGGGAGGTAATGTAATTATCGGGCCAAGCCGTGGATGCATCCAGGGTATAGTGCAGAGTGATCGTAACGTTTACCCTGGAGATTATCGAGGATGGTTCATACCAAGGAAATGCAATGCACCCTTGCAGGCCTTCCCTAACCCGGGTTACGACGAAAGCTATTAATAATTGATATCGTGTTCGTTGGCGACCATAGCTACTTATAATCAAAGATAAGCATTGTGTGATTTCATAACCAATATCTATCTCCAATTTCTCCAATATGAGTCTTAACAGATAATTATCAAACATTAGTATTTTCATGTCCAGCTGTCATGTTTATACACTGGGAATACTGACAAAGACGACATTTTTACTCTTGGCTGACATTCTTGTGAAAATACCAACTTTGTCGTGTCACCCAATCAGCAAGATCAGAGAGAAAAGTACAGTGTAAGCATAACATGTCTCAAATTGCCAAATGACTTTTCTTACTCTAAAACCAGTTGAAGATCCGGGTTAGCAACCCGTGCTTGTCGTAAGAGGCGACTAACGGGGTCGGGTGGTCAGGCTCGCTGACTTGCTGGAAACAGTCATGTCATCGTATCACATCGATGCTCATGCTGATGATCACATGATTATCTGGTCCAGTTTCGATTATTTACACACCGCTGGAATATTGCTGAATGCGGCGTAAAACTAAGTTCACTTTCTCTTACTCTGAAAACCAGTGTCACTGAAAAAAACTCATTGTTTTGTTCTGCAGGAATGAATTAGTTATGTTATACCGTTTTAGATAATTACACTATTTCATCGCCAAATAGTAAATTGCTACCTTTTCCATTTCCTTAAATAGTTATCATATTTTTTATATAATAAAACAACCCAAGTATATCCTCCGGCAAGTGTTTTTTTCACTGGACCAAGCATCCACCTTCTCGTACAGTCTTGGAGTCAAAATGTATCATAGTTCGTTTCACAAGTTATACACGTCATTAGGACACCTTGTTAGTGAGTGAGTGAGTTTAGATTTACGCCGCACTCAGCAATATCCTAGCTATATGGCGGCGGTCTGTAAATAATCGAGTCTGGACCAGACAATCCAGTGATCAACAGCATGAGCATCGATCTACGCAACTGGGAACCGATGACATGAGTCAGCGAGTCTGACCACCCGATCCCGTTAGTCGCCTTTTGTGGCAAGCATGGGTTGGTGAAGACCTATTCTACCCGTATCTTCACGGGTCGTCACCTTGTTATAGTTGTGCGGATTATCCCATTAATCTCCACAAAGCCATCGGTAACTTTACATGTTTCTCATCTGCAAGAATTTCTGGTGTCCTCCTGCTTCATATTGCTGGAATATTGCTAAAAGCGGCGTTAAAGTATACTCACTCACTCTCACAAACTCACTAACCTGGAAGAGTGAGTGAGTTTAGTTTTACGCCGTACTCAGCAATATTCCAGCTATATTGCGGCGGTCTGTAAATCATCGAGTCTTGACCAGATCTGCATCGATCTGCGCAACTGGGAACCGATGACATGTGTCAACCAATCCAGCGAGCCTGACCACCCGTTAGTCGCCTCTTATGACAAGCAAGGGTTACTGAAGGTTCATTCTAACCCGGATCTCCACGGGTTTTACCCTGGAAGAGAGCGGACGAGCTTAAAAACACGAATATCACAATTTGTGTAACCTTCAGGTATAAAATTTTAAAATGTCGACTACTAGGTAAAGGTATTAAGACCTATTTATAATGTAATGCAAAGACGTATATACCTCTTTGTGTAAATCAAATCGCTTAGTTTCGGAAACATGGTTTGTTTTTATAAATGTAGGTGCAGAAAGGTTAAGCTGACCTTGGGTTTAAAGAGTCTGTAAGATTAAGAGTATTTTAACCTCCCCAGAGTATTCTATTTCCACAGCTGCGGGAAAGTTGGGAAAAGAAAAGTATATATTATTTCACCTCGGAATAAAACTTCAGAGCGTTCAGGAGATGATGATGAGAAACACAGAAACAATACGGACAGCCTAATAGAGGTTACACTGCTAATGATATCAATCACTGGCTTATCTGACCCAAAATTCGACAATTTACACGCCGCTTTCATGTAACTCATTGCATGAATCCAAACAATACAAATCAAAATGAAGTGAAGATTCCACACAGGTTGTAACAATCAGCCAGGTGACAGAGGTTCACTCTCACTTAGCCAGAGTCTACCCAAAAAGGTCTTGTTAAGACAACATTGCAGTATGGCTAGGTGAGAGATGCGAGCCTGGGCCTAGATTTTCGAAGCTCTCTTAGAGGTAAGATAGTTGTAAGTTAATGTTAATGTATGGCACTTACAACCATCTTAACACTAAGAGAGCTTCGAAAATCTAGGCCCAGGTAATTAGATAGAGCCGCTGAAACGTGAGCCTTTGTTCCAGGGCTATAGTCTATGTCTACATTGCGACACAATTTACGATGTATGCGTGTGTTTGTAATACTAAAGCAAAAGAAACAGCATTTCAGATAAATTAATTTAACAACAAAAGAATAATACTGAGAAAGAATATTGATAGAACATCATACGTTATATCTGTTATATGAGTGAATACTGAATATGCTCGTAATGTGTTGGTTATGCCAAGCAACGAAATGAGCTGCAGCAGAAAATCCAGCTATATTAACTTGAGGTGAGGTGAGGTGATATGGGGTCTAACGTCGTGCTTGAGAATGTTTCGCTCATATGACGACGTGCATGCGTATGTGTATGTGTGGCTGTGGCTGCTTGTACTAGCCCAGACTTAAGCTGGTGTTATAGTGCTAGCCCACTGAGATACCATGCCGCAGTGAAGCATGAATACCCCACTGAGACACAGTATACTGACTCCGAGTCGACCAGTCCTTGTTGTACCCATTAATGCCGAGCGCCAGACAGGGACCAACAAGTACCATATTTTAACGTCTTTTGGTATGACGCGGTCGGGGATCGAACCCGCGACCTTCCGCTCTCCGGGCGGACGCTCTAACCATTACACCACGGAGGCGGTCTATATTAACTTGAGGTACATTGAATATATATGTAGTGGTGATGATCACTGGAAGCGGTTACTTTTAGAAATGAACTGGTGTAGTGAGCTGAGAATGTTACTATTAGTTACTATCTGGCTATGTGAGAGACCTGTTTTGACAGAATCTGGCTAAGTGAGAGGACACCGGTCACAGGAGACAGGCCTCTCTAATTACCACCACGGACAATACCCCTACTGTTAACCTATACAGGTTGTCACCCGAAGCCCGTGTAAGTACCATACAACCAAGGGGTAATATGTACAGTGATACTACCCTGCCTCCGAATCACTTCGTTAAATAGGTCAAGTGGCTATCCATTAGCATCGTCATATAATGGAGTGCACTGAACAAGACTGTCAAATCTTTTCAACAGTACGATTGATCGGCTTAATTTTAAAATCGATAATCAATAACAGCGTTTCCGTCCCCGCATGAAGCCCAGCATGATAGTTCATGGTAGAAGCTTAACTTTATCCCCTCCATAACTTATACTATGATCACGTCAACGTGGATGACAGCTTCTGCTACGACGACAAGCGTCTACACTGCTTAAATCAGAATGTAACCATTGTCTTAAGTCCTTTACCTCAAGTAAACATGTTAATGTTAAGGTAACTTATATGTTACTGTTATTGATCTGTTTCGGTGATATGTACACTCATTCAACACTGATCTGAGAGTAATTGTTTAGATCTACTGATCTGTTATTGTTACCGATCAGTCACTTCTGATGGTCGGCTACTGTTACGGATCTGTTACTTCTAATGATTTGTCACTGTTGTCAATCTGTTACTATTGCCGGGATCGGGTGGTCAGACTCTCTGACTTGGTTGACACATGTCATCGGTTCCCAATTGCGTAGATCGATGCTCATGCTGTTGATCACTGGATTGTCTGGTCAGGCTCGATTATTTACAGACCGCCACCATATAGCTGGAATTTTGCTGAGTGTGGCGTAAAACTAAATTCACTCACTCACTGTTACTATTGCCGGTCACGGTTACTTCTGATACTTACCCGTGAAGATTCGGGATAGAATTGTTCTTCAGCCATCCATGCTTGTAAGTGACTACTAACGGGATTGATGTGTTACTGTTACCGGCCTGCTATCTCTATTGACCTACCCGTGAAGGTCCGGGTTAGAATATTGATCTTCAGTAACCCATGCTAGTCGTAAGAGGCGACTAACGGGATCGGGTGGTCAGGCTCGCTGACTTGGTTGACACATGTCATCGGTTCCCAATTGCGTAGATCGATGCTCACGCTGTTGATCACTGGATTGTCTGGTCCAGACTCGATTATTTACAGACCGCCGCCATATAGCTGGAATAGTGCTGAGTGCGGCGTGAAACTAAACTCACTCACTTTATTGACCTGTTTCTGCACTCAGCTATGGCGTGGTTACTTTTGTTAATCTGTTACTGTTCTATTGTTATTATTTTGCGGCTGATCGATTAGTGATCTGTTACTGTTGTTTATACAACATTGATCTTCTTCAACATCGACCACAGTCATTCAACAACTTGACGCCGCGGGTTTCTAGGGCTTCTGCCCTACCTGTCTCTGAAGCGCTTGCAGCACATGTGGAGTCTCCTCAGGCGCGTGACTTTGTTTCGAGTGTGTCTCTGTTTACCTAGCACTAAATAAACATCGAACGAGATTGTACAAGAAGCGATATCTTACTGTTATCGATTGCTTATCGTCAGTGCTCTATGACTACCAGTGATCTGTTACCGTCAATGATCTGTTACTATCAGTTATCTCTCACTACCAGTGATCTGTTTTTATTGTTCTGTGGGTGAAATTACATTTTCAATATGGCCGCTATGACCGGCCATATTGGAGGTTTCAGAAAACCTTTAAAACCGTAAACGACGGACAGACAACTCAACGGGGGCTAACGCGATCTAAGATGACTTGATAATCAATAAGATGAGCTTCGAAACGTGACACACCAATCTCTCTTAAAAAAACCATTTATGATGCAGCCGAACATACTATTTAATTTTATTAATAACGAAATTATTTTTTGAGTATCACAAACTTATCACATTTAACAGATACATGTTCTAATAAAAACGGGATAACCTAATTCTTGAAGCCATCATTATTACCCGAAACACACTTTTAGTTTTCCAGTATTAATTATTTTACTTTTTTATTACTGTTATACATGCATGACAGGTGAGGTGAGGTGAAATTGGGTTTTACGTCGTGCTTCAGAATATTTCGCTCATATGACGACGTGCATGCGTGTGTATGTGTATGTGCGGCTGCTTGTACTAGCCCAGACTTAAGCTGGTTTTATAGTGCTAGCCCACTGAGATACCATGCCGCAGTGAAGCATGAATACCCCACTCAGACACATTATACTGACTCTGAGCCGACCAGTCCTTGTTGTACCCATTAATGCCGAGCGCCAGACAGGGACCAACAAGTACCATATTTTAACGTCTTTTGGTATGACGCGGTCGGGGATCGAACCCGTGACCTTCCGCTCTCCGGGCGGACGCCCTAACCACTACACAACGGAGGCGGTCACTGTTATAGAACCGCGCCTTCCTAATACTACACTTGTCTTATAAGCATAAAAACCCGATATTACCAGCTTGTACTAGTCATTTATGTTAAGGAACTGTAATAATACTAACTTTCAAAATCTGATATATAATATATTTGTAGGGCGCCTAATATCCACCTCAAAGATGCTCAGTGGCACTTAGGACACATTTTGCGCAAAGATTAGACATTTCCCCCCGGTTACCCTATGCTGCCTTTGAGACCAACTTATCCTACCGGGTACCCATTCACTGCTGGTTGAACAGAGGCAATTTTGAACAAAATCACTTGCCTAAGATGAGCTCCTACCACACTACCATTCACATCTTATAACGAGATTCACGAATATAGTAAAAAGTCATATTTAATTGACGTAAGCAAATATACTATTTACGTTTTGTTGTTAATAGAAATACCCTTTCGGCTATATTACAACCATCCCATCATAATAGATAACGACCCGTGAAGATCCGGGGTAGAATAGGTCTTCAGCAACCCATGTGCTTGCCATAAAAAAGCGACTATCTTGTCGTAAGAGGCGACTAACGGGATCGGGTGGTCAGTTTCGCTGACTTGGTTGACACATGTCATCGGTTCCCAATTGCGCAGATCGATGCTCATGCTGTTGATCACTGGATTGTCTGGTCCAGACTCGATTATTTACAGACCGCCGCCATATAGCTGGAATATTGCTGAGTGCGGCGTAAAACTAAACTCACTCACTCACTCACTCATAATAGATAACAATGCACAAGGCATGTGGGTCTGTTCGCTCACATACTACAATTGTCAGTCAATACACAAAGAGCTGCATTTAAAACATAATAAAATAACCAACATATGTATTTTAACTTAAACTTGTTTATTTATTTCTTCACTGACCTAATTAACACACACAGACTACTGGTTTTCTTTGAATCTCATCTAATCATTACATGCTTTCTTCAATGACTTTCCGATCCGCCCTCTTCATTCACCGTTATTGAGTTAACGATGGAATGCAAGGCTTGACACACCTGTACGAGCGTCCCAGGTAAACGCACCTGAAATGTCATCAGCCATTGTCCTCGCCAGGGGAGGGAACTGGAACAGCGAGGTGTGCAGTTTATAAGTTTCAAAATGGCGGCCGATGTCCCAAAAGGGGACAGGCTTCCCCCGGATTGGAATTATTCAGTGACAAGGGACGGTAGAGTGTTTTTCATCAAGTAGGTGTATTTTGACAGTCGTCACCTGGCATGCGCGTTAGTTATTGAACATCAAAGTCGTGTGACGACAGGTGAATTCATCACGAATATTTGTCATACTTTCTCTTTTTGCAGCGAGCGATCACAAACTACGACATGGCTTCACCCATTAACTGGCCGTCCAGTGCAGACCGGCAACAGTCCAGCTCCAGGTAATGCACACCTGTAATTAGTAGCGTTGATGCACATGCATACCTGTGTTGCCATACTGTGTATTTTACGCGTGTTTCAATACCGAGTACTGTTCTGTATGTTGAGGTCAATAAACATGCTACAACAGTCAACTGTCAGAATAAAATCTCGACCATGACCCTGGTTTGTTGAACATTAGAAAGGTTAGGTCACATTAACCCTCGACTGGAGCACCAGTTGAAACTATAGGCTCTATTAGATTTAGTGATGAGCAAATGGTGAAGGTTGAATAAACAGAAATTCACACGTGCTTGTGTAAAACTGATATTATACAAACATCAAAAAGTTCATTAAGTTTTACACTGCCATTGCGTCCATGGAATGATGGATTGACCGTAAATGGTGTTATTTTTAATTATATGGAAGTTTATTAACTTGCAAGTGGCTGTTTGCACTATATTTTTCATCTTTTTCATAATAATGATAAATATTTTCATCTTGAGTGATAGGCAAACTTTTTCATTTTTTCATTTGGAGGGAAACATAATTATCGTTTATAGGATGATCATCAATAGTGTCAGCATTACTTTTAAGCGTGTGAATAGTTTTACGAATGTGCATTATATCAACATATGCAATATATTTATCTTCAGAAATCATTATTTTGATTGAAAATGTTGATATATGAACTGTATCCTGTGAATGTTTACTCTACCAGCTGAAAAAAATACAGATTACATGTAATTTGGAAAATCCCTTAAATGTCTCTCCCGTGTGATAAACAAAAAACAACTTGTAAAGATCACAAGCAAATAAATAATATGGTTATCTCGTGAACATGTTGATGCATGAATGTTAGGTAAGCATCTTAATATAGTAATGATCAATATTTATGTTGGCATATGATAGATATATACAATGACTGTGATGCAGGAAACGTACACTACACATACAGTGGCTAATGGTGACAGTCACTGGTGTGTTATACTAGCTTATATCATGTTTATATATAGATGTGTTATATCAGTATTTTATACACCGGTGTGTAACAGCTCATGACACTTAGACAATGCAGTCCTTTTTTCCTACAAGTACAATTTCCCTGAAGATATCTTTTTTACAATATATTATTTCTGTATATTTTCTGAGCAAACAGATTTGTCGGTGGGTAGCCTAGTGGTTGATGTGTTTGCTTATGCCAACGGCCAGGGTTCAATTTGTCATGTTTACCAAGAGTGAAGCCCATTTCTGGTCTCCCCCACCATGATATTGATGGAAAATTGCTTTAAAAGCATTATAAACCCATACTCTCTGAGCAAATATACACATGGAAACAAACACAGGGAACACATGAAAGTACAAGAGTTCCTTTATTTGTTTCCAGAATTTCACCCATGGTGCAAACTGCAATACATACCTTGTGAAGAAACCTGGAAAAGAATAAAGGAACACTTGTACTTTCATGTGTTCCCTTATTCGTTTCCATGAGTATATATAAAGATACTGGAAACAGAGGCCCAGATAAGCTGCGTATCCGGTAAAATATGCATAGAAAATTTCCAATTACACGCATTGAAAAATAATTGTTAAGCGCACTTCCACGATTAAAATGTTAGTATATAAAGATTACAAATGTGTGTACGAAAATTTATAATGTATATTGATTTAATAGGTAAGGACCAAGTGTTCCATGTTTTTCTTCTCTTATATTTAAGTGGTCAGAATTGAAAGCAGTGGGTAACGTCTGTGGATATCGATTTAATAGGAAGGGCCAAGTGTTCAATGTTTTTTCTTCTCTTGTGGTCAGAATTGAAAAGTCGGATATGCGACAACTTGAATCAAAGTATTGTGTTGATGTTGCCTTAGATGTTGAAACCCATGAGTCAATCCATATGTCATGAGACATACGATGCTATGGTATTGTCGACTTACACAAGCTTGTGTTGGTACATGTGGTATATTGATTTCCTTGTTGTACTGAAAGTGTTTACAATAGTATTGTACACATGTGGACTGTATTTTCAACATCAATAGAGGGCTTCTTAATGCATGTTAGTATGTCATAATGATTTATCATCAAAGGTCTGAGCTTTTACGTGTGATGGATATATTTCCAGCATCAAACAGGAACCAAATTGTTAGTTTTATGTAAAAAGAATCCAAGATGTAGTTATATGCACAAAGGCAAGACACATCTGACACTGAGAGTGAGACAATAATTAATTTAGTACTCAGTTTTTAGGGTTTTTCAGCACCTTGAGCGTGTACTAGTTGCTGGGTATGTGCGCTATATAAAGATCCTATAATAAATTTTAGCTGAAAACAACAAAAATATATTTATTTAATCTCATTTAGCTGTCTTTTCTATTTTTCATGGAGCAGAGAAACAAAAATATGCTAAAAACTTAAAGAATGGCAATAGATCTGATTTTTGAGGAAAATGATTTTTGATGAAGTGGCTGTGGTTAGACATTGACTTATTGTGTGTTCAGCGATCGGGGAAAGTTAAAGTATCCAAACTGCATCAGTGCTCATTGTGGTAATCACAACATTGTCTGGTCTAGCCCCCCTTCTTTACAAGCCAATGTCTTTTAGCTGGAATATTGCCCAATGCCGTGTTACGAAAAATACAAACAAAACACATGTTGTGACAATCACACACGATGTGGTTCAAAATGGCACGTCAGAGGATTCATCAAATTCCAACCTTGTGACATGAAACGTTTCATTATTGGCAATTTACTGAACTGTAACATGTGGACTATATAGTCACTGTTTATGTTTGTTGGGTTCATAACTTGATGCCATGATATTGCTGGAATATTGCTAAAAGCGATGTAAAACCCAACTTGCTCACTTGGCATGTCTGGGGGATATGGTGTGTCAACTTGTCAGGAGGTTGTTCTTTTAAATTAGGAAAACATCTGTATTGTTTTGTTTTATGGATCAAGCACTTGGGCAGGAAAACAATTCATACATTGATTTCATTTTTCATTTGGCTTTTTGTCCAACTGCTAATATGGCCTAGGATTTAGAAATACAAGCAAATAATATCTTGTAAATTGAGTCAATCAAAATGTATTCAAATTAAAATAAGATTTGCAAACTGGATCGGTTCACAGCTTCTTAATTTTGTTTCATTGCTTTAATAAATATCATTTGTTGGAACAGTTTTTGTTGATGGGGATCCCTCTTGCGTTACATCCTCTACTGTTCGCAGAGAACCTGGGTTAGATTCCCCCATTGGGTACAATGTGTGTAGCCCATTTCTGGTGTCTCCTGTCGGGATACTGGAATGTTGCAAAAAGCAGTGTACAACTAAACTCACTCTTCATGTGCTAGCTTCTGTGGGAATATGCCTCTATTTGCCCCACAGTAAAGTGGGTACCCGGTAGGATGAGTTAACCTTCCACCAACAGTTAACCTTTAAGCACCTACCATGATTGAGCTTTGGTTGTAAACTCTGGGGGGGAATTGTACTGTAGATACAAATCCATTGACCTTGGTTGTATTGTTGTTGAGTTAAGCATGCACTGAGTGTATGGAAACTTGTTCAATATAAATGCACACATTATCTGCCTGCTGATCTATTAATGATGTTAATGCCAGTGCGTTTTGATGACACATCTGAGAGATCAGCTCTGATGCTCTGGTAGGTGCTCAGAGAAGGGAACCAGTACACTGCGCTCAGTATGGAAATATTGATTAATATAACAATCATTTAATATAGTTAAGTATGTCTATATATTATCCGCTTCCAATGGATAAGCTGATTAAGCTAATTGAAATTACCACACAAAAAGGTGAGTGAGTTTAGTTTTACGCTGCGCTCAGCAATATTCCAGCTATATGGCGCCGGTCCCTAATTAATCAAGCCTGGACCAGACAGTCCAGTGATCAGCAGCATGAGCATTGATCTATGCAATTGGGATAGGATGACATGTGTCAACAAAGTCAGCGAGCCTGACCACCTGGTCCCATTAGTCGCCTCATTCGACAAGCATGGGTTACTGAAGATCAGTTCTAACCTTGATCTTCAAGGGTCCACAAAGGGGTGCAGGGGCCAGCTTGGTGAAAGGCAACTTAAAGTTACTTGGCTAAAGGGTCTGTTTGCTTGGCATTGTGGAGTTGATGAATAATAAGAAAGGTATGATACCTGTGTTATTGGATTGGCGCCACAATCGTGACAATGGCTAATGAGTGCGGAACAGGGTTAAGACAATAATTTTATTGCTTCTATTTATACTTTGCAAGCAAAGTCATTAAAATCACTGGTGCGCGCTGGGGTAGCCTAATGGTTAAAACATTCGCTCATCACGCTGAAGACCCGGGTTTGATTATTCCACATCGGTACAATGTGTGAAACCCATTTCTGGTGTCCCCCACCGTGATATTGCTGGAATATTGCTAAAACGGCGTAAAACCGAACTCATGCACTCAGTCATTAAAATCAGATCCTTTACTCTGATACAATACCTCTGTATGTGAAGATCTGACTATATCTCAATTGTACGTCGTGTCTGATCAGTCATGAGATCAGGCCTCTAATGTTTGGTATGAGTGAGCAGATGTATCTGATTTCTGTTTGTCGGAAAGAGATAAAACCAGGAAGTTCCAAATGCATTAAATATACATAGTAAAGACATTCTCTTATGTATTATTGTTGATATATCCTGTTGTGTATCAGGGTCTCATTGTAAAAAAGCGACCACAGGGGTGGAAATAACCCATTGCCTCAAACCACCGAGAGCCATCATCATGTCTGCAGGGCTCCAGGTTTTTTCTGTCGGAGCAAGCAAATTTGTATATCACACTGTACCGGTGTCCAGTTGATATTTCAATGTTAATTATGTTGTTTATTTAAAAAATCAACAAGAAAATGGCCAATATAGTGGAAAAATTATCAGGGCAAGTGATTTTACATGTGCCACTGTACTGGAGTACACTGGCAATTTTAAAGTTATTTCCACCACTGGTTTTTTAATGTATCATCATCATTTGACAATAGTCTAACATAAGA